CCCCAAAACCCCAAAACCCCAAAACCCCTCTAGATAAAATATGATTCATTTTATAGATTAATACAAAATATTAAGAAAAATAATAAAAATTTATTAAATGTGGTCAGGGGAATCGAAAAGATTAAATGAGTTATACAAATTAAAATTGAAAGTTGGATATAGATTAATAATTGGAGAAGTTACTATATTAAGGTGATATTCTAGCATGATTGCAGTAATAAGCTCTAACATAGTATTCGTAACAGGACTAACGATTTCAGTTTATTAAGCAGAAATAAATGCTTTCATTACCTCCTTCAATAGATTTAAAATAGTAGATTTACAAATCACCAGGACTAGCAAAATATACGCTGAGTATCTAGTTTGGCAGAATTATAATTAGAGTTTATGCTCATTGAAAAGAAATACTGCCTTTTTATTGGATAAACTCGATTCTATTCCAAGAACTTGACTACTTATATTACATCAAAGTTTGATTGGAAAGTTCTAATCAAAATTTGAGCAAGTTCACATAGTTAGTAGAGTCTATGAAAGATAACAAAGTCTAATGACTAATGTAATTATACCGAATTAGATAACGAGAGTCTAACAGTAACGGATTTCCCTTCCAATGTTCAAATGATTCAACTCAAAATCAATTGAAATAGATAGTGCGAATAAAGGTTTTTAAAAATAATGATTACTCTCAGAAGTCTAATCAATACCCAGAGAAATCTTACAGAAAGAATAAGATTCAATAATAAACTTCATTCAGGATAAAAATGTTGATGCAAAAAATGAAATTTGAAGAAAAATAAGAAATACAAATAGATATAGTTGTAAACCTAAACTTTGAGTTACTCAAAATGGATAATTACACTTGATGGAATGAGATTGAAAAATAGCTAGGATTTAACTAATACAGTTTCTTACAGAGTATTTGACTCAAAAGAATACTGCGATATTTTGTTGAAGGATTAGGATATACCGGCTTAATGACTTGCACAACTCACACCTCATACAAGTTTTCAATAAGCGTTGATATTCAAATTTTTGGATTTGCAATTACTATACATTATTAAACAAGGAAGTTAATAGTGGTATCTAATATCGAACAGATCTTTACTTAAAGGTATAAGGACACTATGGGAATTAACAAATTTTAAGGCCATCTCTCAGGTAGCAGCCTGCTTAGTAACTCTTAAAATTAATGAAAGTTTACCAACTTAATTTACTCCTTATTAGGAACTATATTCGAAAACTGCATTAGTGTCTTTGGAATATCGTGGCTATCCAAGGGAGCACCTGGCTTAAGAGATATGGTAGGAATTACTGGATGCAAAATTAGTATATTGTGATAAAAAGAGGGCATTTTTGAGGGGATTGAGAAACATGTGCCAGGTTAACTTCTCAGTGATGAAACTAGATTTCAATTCAATTCAAGCTGTATTGTGAAATAGAATGGCATATAATAATAAGGACCTTCGCTATCGCATGTTCCATTAATATTGTAATGAGAAGGGACCTTCATTGCTCCTAATTAAAACAACTAATGGTAAATTTTTGGAGGCTTTACCTCGATCTCTTGGACTCCATAAGGATTTTATGAAAAAGATGGCAACACCTTTATCTTCTCAAATGACAAGAAGGCTATCCTAAAGGTTTAACCCTCTAAAATTTAAAATGCCATTTTTAGCTATTAAAAGCAAGGACTGTAATTTGGCTAAATGGACATCTACCTCAATTTAGATGAAATGAATTACATGAGTA